GGAACTGTGGTGGACGCTGCCGCAAATATGAACGCAGCTTAATAGAAAGAGAATAGCTAACCACAATAGGGTAAAAAAGGGCATATATTTGTCTGTACAGGTACTGTATTTGTTTATACATAATCTGATATCGTCGCAGTCCCTAGGGGTGGAGGAAGGGCGGGTGAGCCCTGCTCCGGCTGCCTTACTCTACCAATGGTGAACGATTCCGAGAAGAAAACAGCCAGTGGTAGAGACTTCGCAGCTTGGCCCATTCCGTCCCTCTTGGAAACGCCCCGACTGATTGCAACGATATCAACCGTAGATCTCCTGCATGCTTGCTTATGCTTGGTCAATTTACGCAATTGGCCGGCAGTTCTGAGCTTGCATCTTCGTTTTTGTGGTACGGCGTGTCCAACCATAATAAAAAAAAGAATAATTAAAACCTAATAGCAACCCAAATGCAATGGCAACGTACCGTTAGATTCCTGTTTTCTCCGTTTTCTTGGTTCCATTCTTTCGTATGCAAATCAAAACTCCAAAGTTCACTTGTGATATTCTTTCTATCAATAACACCACCGTACATGAACAGCTTCGACTAAACAAAAATTATTTCAAAACGGTACAAATTTACTTATTTAACTTAAGGTGTGCTAAAGAATATCCTCATCGATTCTAAAGCTTGTTGGACCTAGCTGTTATTTATTTATTAACATACGCTTTGTTTTCCTACCTTGTAACGCACTACTGTGTGATCAAATCTTGGACCAGGCTTAGCTTTTCCTCCTACCACAATAGATTTCCATGACCGAGAAGTTATGTTGAACAGAACAGGATCTTCGAAAACTACTCCACTGAAGTGTTCACCGCCTTAAATTAAATTTCAGCAAAATTGTCTAGTGGGCTGAAAAAAAAGAACAAAAAAATCTCAGAAGTGAAGTTCTGAAAGAAATTAAACCATTACCAAAAGATCGGCAAAACGTCTACCACAGTCTACATGGATAAAGGACTGAAGAATAATG